TTATGACGGTGAAGAACTGGAAGGAACATTTTACGAGCAGGAACTTCAGAAAGTCAACAAATCAGACAGTGACTATTATAGAGTAGAAAAAGTAATAAGATCACGAATGCGTAATAAACGTAAAGAGTATTATGTAAAATGGTTGGGTTACCCTGACAAGTTTAATTCTTGGGTACCAGCAGAGAGTGTAAAAGATCTGAAATAAATATATTTGAAACTCATACCTTGTATTCATTTGTGTGTTGGTCTTCAATATGGCAACACAGTTTTATCTCACGTTACCGAGTAATAGTTCTATGGCTTATTTTCAAAATAATACAGTGGCAAATTTTCGAGTGAAATTGGCCGAAACCATTGTCTTGCCAGGCCAATGGGAAGTCGCATTGACGGAACTGCATTACCCACATACGTGGAGCACGCTAAAACGCGGAGTACAACAAACGTTTTTATATAAAATTGGCAGTATCCCTTATCAAACTGTCGTGCTTAAAGAAACACAATATTCTTCTATTGAGCAACTAACAAAAGCACTCAATGCCGGCATGTCAAAAGAAATACAATCGAAAGTGAAGTTTAGTTATAATCGCAGTTCTCGCAAAGTTTCGGTTGATGTAAAACACGACACAACTTTGTGGTTTACCGGAGAATTAGCAACCGTCTTGGGATTTGACCAGGACACTCTTATTGAAAAGAAAACTTCGAGTCCCTATGCTGCAGATATCAATGGTGGATTTTCCTCCATGTATGTCTACACTGATATCGTTGATGCGCAGTTTGTAGGCGATGTGAAAGTGCCTTTACTACGAATCGTTAATATCGAAGGGGAATATGGAAACACCGTTCACGCCAGTTTTCGTAATTTGCAATACGTACTGGTCAAAGTAAATTCTTTTGAGACCATTGAAGTGAATATAAAGAATGACCAAAACGAAAACGTCTCATTTGAGTTCGGCAAGTCAATCGCAACACTTCACTTCAGACAGAAGAGATCTCAGTACTTTATCTAAAAATGCGCGGAAGACTAGTTGTGGATGCTAAACTATTGAAAGACCATTTCTTGAGACAACAGCGTGGTGGGAATATCGCTGGGTTTCGTGGTGCACGTATGCAAAGGGGATATGGGATCGGAAGTATTTTCAAGAGCCTTGCGAGATATGCTATCCCTCTGTTCAAACAAGGCGCTAAAGTTGTTGGCAAAAGAGCATTGCAAGCAGCCACAGAAGTCGGTCAAGATGTACTCCAAGGAAAAAATGTAAAAGAAGCTTTTAAATCACGAGGAAAACAAGCAGCATCTGATGTTGCAAAAAACGCTGCCAAGAAAGTAATGACCGGAAAGGGTCGCAAAAAGGGTATAAAAAGAGCAGCGCCAGCTAAAACTCCCATTCGTGGTCCAACCAAGAAGCAGAAAACATCTCTCGATAACTATAGTCCAAAGTGGCATGGCTCTTGAAACAATGCATAAAGACTCCTGTATGTGTTCAAAATCTGAACTCGATTTATTTTCTATTCCACCGACTCAAGTGGTAATGGAAAAGGGATTTTGGGAAGCTGTTGATCCTATTACGAGCATATCTTCTTCAGATACGATAGAATTTTTATGTGCTGCAAATTCTGGTGTTTATACCGACTTAGCAAGCAGTTACCTACACGTTAAAGCAAAGATCACCACTGCGGCCGGAGAAAATGTGGATGCCGACATTCAAGTTGGACCTTCAAACCTTTGGATGCGTGCATTATTCTCACAAGTTGAAGTATTTCTAAACAAAAAACTGGTCACCCCATCAAGCACAGCATACCCTTACCGAGCGTATATCGAAACGATCCTGAACTTTAGTAAAGACGCCAAAGATTCACATTTGACCTCAGCACTGTTCTATAAAGATAAAGCTGGAAAGATGGATGTAGTAAACCCTCTCGCACAAGACGCCAACGTCAACACGGGATTAAAACAACGCCATGCATATACACGTGAAAGCAAATCTGTCGCCATGGAAGGAAGACTTCATTCTGATCTATTTGCGCAAGACCGTTATATTCTTGGTGCTGTTCCAATCAAGATCAAGCTGGTGAGATCTAGAGACCCGTTTTGTTTGGTATCATCCGTTGAAAATCCCAATTTCAAAGTGGTCATCGAGGAATGATTGTTTCGTGTACGACGAGTTAACGTAGCCCCTAGTATTATACTGGCTCATTCCCAGTCCCTTCAACAAATCACTGCCAAATACCCAATCAACAGGATCGACTGCAAGGTTGTCTCCGTACCTCGGGGGAATATGTCTGGAAATCAACCTAATATATTTCAAGGTGGTTTACCAAATCGTATCGTGATTGGAATGGTCGACGCGGATGCCTTTAACGGTACATATACGAAGAATGCGTTCAATTTTAAAAATTATGATATCACAACCATGGGTCTCACTGTCAACGGAGAGAAATTACCTGGAAAGACAGTAATTACATTTCTGCTTTTCAAACCCTGTACGCCGGCGCACACAAGATTTTTGATAATCAGGGTAATGGTATAACACGTGAAGAATATGCAAACGGTTATACACTGTTTGTGTTTGACCTCACTCCGGACTTATGCCTTGGTGATCATGTACAACCGATTAAGAACGGAAATGTGTCAATTGATTGTCGATTTGGAACACCGTTGGAGACAGCTATAAATATCGTGGTACTTGGTGAATTTCAAAGTCTTATCGAAATTGATGCGAACCGGAACGTGCTGTGTGATTTCAACAACTGAAGATGAACTCGCTGCAGATTATGAACATTCTCAAGAATGATCCATTTACAAAAACGGTGTTTACGGACGTTTTACCATCAGATCGTTTACCTCGCGAAATAAGAACGAGGCCTAGAGGGTATATACTTAACACGGACGCATCCGATATGCCTGGATCACACTGGATTGCAATGTACCTTACAGAAGATGGCAAAGGGGAATTTTGGGATTCGTATGGCCAGGCTCCTGGATTTTATAATCAGAACTTTACTCAATTTTTGGACAAACATTGCGGTACATTTACATGGAACAGAAGAATTTTGCAAGCCCCTTCATCAGACGTGTGCGGACAATATACATTATTCTTTGCTTTACATCGATGTAGACGTATTCCAATGTCAACCATTGCAAATATGTTTACGGATAGCAAAGAATGGAATGATGAGCTTGTGCGTGATTTTATAGACAAGTGGTACAAACACTAGATTTAGTTTTAAATAGATTTATTGCAAAATTTTCTCTTACAAGAAATAAATTATTTTAACTATTTATATGCACAACTAATATTGTCTCTGCGTTTTTTCCTCTTTTCTTGCTGCACTCGAGGGGTGGTGGGTAGATTTTCCGGGATACCTTTGGTTTTATATTCGCGAACAATTCCAAGACGGTTTTCGTTTCTCACAATACCTTCGGGTACATTCAAATGTCCGAGAACTTTTGAAAACAATTCCCAGCCGTCGGGGTTGAAATTCTTCCTTTGACGTAGAGAATCATTCACTAAATCAACTATATTTGTGCTAGGAACCCATCTTCCTTTGAACACCATCTGGCCTTGTTCATTCCAACCAACAAGATCCTTATTTGACTTGAGTTTTTTTATGAGTTGTCGAGCTTTTGACTTCATAGTAGCTGGTACACTATCCATGATATCTGTTTCAATCTCGTCTGAGGGTTCAGTCTCTTCATTCGGCTGTTCTCCTTGAGGTTCTTCAGGTTTATCGGTGTGCGTCACGTTTACTCGAAGAGGTTTATTCATTCGTTTATCATAAAAGGTTAAATGTAGTAGATGTAGATTCTGGTCGTATAACTTTGCCTTTTCATCGATTGGTATATCTTGTCGTCGAATAATATCTTGCATGTCCGAGTCTATTTCGTTGACCTGTGTCGCCAAAGGCGCCGCGAGAGGTTTCTTTCGCTGTTCAGCCATATGTTCAGGGACAAGTACTAATCGCTTGACGTGTTCCATTATAAAAAGTTAGCCAACTGTTCCAAAACTGAAGTGAGTAGAAATGGTAGGAAACCCTCCCCTTTTTGAACTAGACGGGTTCTTCTTTTTACGATAGGATTTCGTTTGTCAGCCGCAAACTTTATATGCTTGGAATGTGGTGCAAGTTTTTTAGCTGTTTTCGGTTTCAGTTTAATCGTGTCAAACCAAACGTTTAATAGACACTGTCTTATAGCTTCAAACAGATCGTCTTCAGCCGCTTTCAAAATAGCTTTTCTCAGTTCAGGTTTACACTTGGCCAATACTTTCAGAAGTTCGGAGTTCCTCTTCATACAAGCAGACATGATCAAATGACCATTTTACACACGTTCCCACTTTCTTATACTCTGGGTTGATAGACATAATGCGTATCTGTTCGAAAGATCCCGGATCGAATCCGTATCTCGTCAGGACATGTGGGAGTTAGGTCGACAAATAGATACGAATAGGGCTCTTTGGTTGCCAGTTGATAGGCTTGCTGAAAAAATTTGGTGTTACTGGGAGACAGTTGTTTAGCGAGATGAATAATTTGACTTGCGTCTCGCACGTTTTTCGTTAAACATAAATAACTTGCATTGAGAGAAATTGTACGGTGTTCTTTGCTATGATGAAATAAATTTTGTACAATGTAGATCACACTCAGGTTACCATGATGTGATTTTTTCGTGAATAATTTTGAAATAACTCCATCCTTCTCACCCATGAAATCATCAATGACATATAAATTGCGTGTTTCGGGATTAATACTATCCAGTATATCATCAGGTAAGCCTTTTACAAATTTTATTCCAGGCACTAAATTTTGAATTTCTCCAAACGTGTCTTGGTACTCGGCATAAAAATACACAATGTTTTCTGGAGGTTTGTCTATCATGACATTAATATAACTCAAAAGTTTTTTCACAAATGTAGTTTTGCCTGACTTTGTGCTCCCAGACACGAGAAGGCCAAACGGGTGTGTTAACTGTATGGAGTACATGTTGAAAATGAAATCATATATTTTGCTCGTCACTATTTATATCATGCGTCCAATGAGTCTATACAATTCAGTTAAAACTACTTCCAAGTCCAAAGGTGCACATTTGGCACGTATAAGGAAAGGTTGTCTTTGTGCGGTGGAAATTTCATGAACACCTGCTAAATGGTTAGATAATTTCAACAAATTTTTCTTACCACAAATCGGACAGTCTTTACGCTTTCGAGGCATGATGTAGAATGAAGACCTTACCTGACTCCCATCTCTTATATAAATGTCCCGCACGGGACTTTTTTTGTCCCGGAAGTCCCGGAAACGCTCAAAGTGTCCCTGCGGGACTGTTTGTCCCGTGCGGGACTTATTTTGTCCCTGAAACTCTGCATGGGAGAGGGGGTTTGCCCGAGAGAAATACACAACATGTTTTTGAAAAAATATATATTGACTATTTACAAACTAAATATCTAAAGGAATTGTTGACACACCGTCCTCCAAAACTTTACGTTTTGGATAAAAATAACTAAAAGCGTTTTTAACTTGAACATATGTACACATAGTATTATTTAAAACCCTAAAACCTCTATTTACACCCGACCCACTACGTTTACTTAAAAGCACATCTAAATATTTATCTTTATTAATTACATTATTTTTCTTATTTACACCCTTGCAACTATATTTATCTCTCTCCCCAAAACAATAATACGTCTTACTACATAAAGATACAATTCCATCCCCTTCCCATTCCACTTTAAACAATCCCGGTTCTCTCCTGTCGTATTTCGCATGTTCAGTTGTATCGGAACGAGGAAACCAGTTACATTTATCGTTCTCAAACGCCTCTCTTAAACCAGGCTTGACCAATTCTTCAACACTTTCACCACTAATAGCGATATAGGCACTGTCTGTAGCCATCTCGCAATACTCATAATCGGAACGGTCAAGGTATGTATCTAAACAGTCGTAGTAAAACTGTAACATTCGGAGTTTCGCATACTGATACACGAAGAACCCCACCTGTGAAATAAGAATAATATATTAATTTATATTTCTAATGACAAAATGATCATGCAATACATACCTGTAGTGGTAAGTCCAACTTTATTTTCTTCTTAGCACTTTCCACTTCGTAGGTGTCATCGTCGATCACGTTCATTTGGCGGTAGAATGGTGAGTTGATTAATTCAGAAACCTCATCATCGTTGCAGTAATCCACCTTGCGATGACGCTCTTTGTTGGTGATGGTCTTCCCGTATGAGCTGTATAGAAATACAAAAAATGAGTATTTCTTGAATACGTCACGACAGCGTGATTTTAAAACTCACCTATTCCCGACCAATTTCATCGTGTCCGCGATGATGGCTTTGGAGGGGTCTGCATCACCAGCACGACGAGCATCCGATACAGCGTCACCGAAAGGTTTGAAGCATGGCTTAGGGGTATACTCGACTATCTGGTAGACGTGTGTTACCTAAAACGATAATACAATTTGTTAAACATTTTCTCCTGCAATTTTACAAATTTTTAATATTTAAAACGTACCTCTAAACCATGTTCTAAATACCATTTTAGAAGAGGAGTTGCCAACATTATCTTCTTTCCGATCATACTTCCAATGAGACTCCGCCGAGGTCGGGGCATGATGTTGTTTTCTTCGGCATAGCTCTTCATGAACTCACCGATGTCTTCTCGACGTATTTCGGTATTCTTGAAGATGGGACACATCTCGGAGAATTTGTCTTTTAGGTGTTCAGGAACGTGGATGTCGCACTCGACACAGCCAAATAACGCATCATTCTTCACAGCGTTGACAATTGATCGAGTTGTCATCGTTTTTACTTTGTCTAGGGGTCGGCGAAGTTGCGTGGCAATGAATCGTTGCAGCGCGGTGTTTCGTTTCTTCATCTCTCGCCACTCACACTCCCAACATTCAACGAGATTGAATCCCTGCTTCGTGATATAGGCGCTGTTTCTTTGGGTATCTTCAAGGAGTTCCTTCATCGGCTTATCACGCTTCTCGTTGACTTCTTTCCCTTCGTTCAGATGACAGTTGTGCCCATGCCAATAACAACCTATTAAAATAAAGTGCAATACAGTTAAACCTACAAAAGAAAAATAAAGTTATCCTACAAGCCCACGCAATCGCTAAAAAACTCATTAGCTCACTCCCACACAATTAACTTAATCCTAGCTAATTAATTTAATCTTAACTAATTACACTAAAACAACAACTTACCATGAAACTGAAACACCGTTTGTGATTCAGCGTGAAAACCGTCAACAGGGAGACGACGAGTGCCAATTCTTTTCTCCGTGTTGTTGTACTCGTGTCTGATACTAATGCCGCGACTGTACGCTTGCCATTCTAACCATTCGATCGCCATTTTTCCACTTCACAGTTTCTTAAACCCGTCCTCCTCTAACCGTCTGGTGTACTGCCCCGTTAGCATGTCTTGCATGATGGCCCACAAGTAGAGCGCATTGGCATCGTAACCAACTACATTTTTGCAGGGTTCAGATTCTTTTCCTGTGGCTCGCATTTCTTCCTTCCGTATGAATGATTTCTCTTTCTCGTGGTACCGGTTAAAGATAATGCTGGGGCCCCCTACGTTATTATCCTTCATTGAATAATACATATCCTTGTCCTTCTCGCTGAACAAGGAGAAGTAGGTGCCTGGAATGTTTGAAAATAAATATTTCATAGTTAAGCCAGGCACACTCACACCGTCCTTAAACATATCAATGTTCCTTTCTTGCCAGAAATTGCTCATTTTATCAATTGCTTCAAGGAAGGGGACTACGTCAAGGTTGTTATACCACACGAGAAAGTCGCGGAAAGTTGTCATATTCTGTTCGTCCCATACACCCTGGCAATACTCATACTGTTCGTCGGTGATGTCGGTTCCGGATAGAGTGGAATGGAAGGTTTCGCGTGGTGGTAAGGAGCAACGATTGAGTTTGTCGAGGGAGTCGACCCACTCGTACGGGAAGTAGCCTTTGGTCTGGGAGCACTCGTACGCTTTGAGGAACTGTTCGTAACTAAATCCCGGAGCCGGATAGTTTGTGATATCGAGGAATTTTAAATGTTGAGTCTTAAGACACATGTGGTTATTGTTCCTCTTTATCACAAACTTAACTTGTTCGTATTTGACGAGATGTGAAAAGAAGGGGTTTTTCGCAGCGTTAATATCATATTTACCAGAGTTGAACCCAAGAATTGGTAGCTCTTGTAAGTATTCTGACAATTTATCTTGGAGTTTGAGCAGAGGATGGACCACATCCTAAATAAATGAAAAGGTGTCATAAGTAAAAAGCAAGATACTTACACAGGCCTACTAATCTATATAACAACCGCTAAAATCGATCACGAGTGTGATACTTACTCTCTCTTCAACGAGTTTATCTTTATTCACTTCGTCTTCATCTTCACTCACCTAAAAGGTATACATATGGTAAGCACAGGAAAGACCACTGCTGAGTTCAAACCTTATGTTATATACCTCACTATTCAGCCCCATCAGACATCCCACCATTTCCTCTATCATCTGATCCTCTGTATTTTGCTAAAACATAAGATATATTAGAATATAAAGAATATAAGTGCAAAAATAACCTTCCTATAGTAGGCACCACCAGGGAAGATGTGACGTACAGTTGCTTCGCATGTTCGCTCGTGCTGGTTCAAGGCTTTTGCTGTCTTCCACATTTTGTCACACTCGGAACAACAGTAGGACTTGGAATACATCGCCAAATTCTTAATATAGCTGAAGTGACTGCCGTAGAGGTTCAGGTACATCGAATTGGCGTAGCTACGATGGGAGCACTGTATGAGTTGAGCCACGATGGAGGTCGTGTCGTCATCTTCGTCATGTAGCTCTGTAGGGCGATACACGAAAATGTTCAACTCGAATAACTTTTCCAACTCTTGGAGTTCTTCCAGTGTCACGCCGTCAAAATCATCATCTTGAGAATACTGCTCATAGAAGTAGTGAGTGTCGCGCTCCAGGTTATGGGGATGAAAACCACGGTGTAGGGCCAAACAACGGAAAAAGCACAGTTTATCCTCGTATGGTAGTCCTGTATGTTCATTACAGGCGAGCGACACGATGGCACGGCTCTCCAGTATGTATTTAGGTAGTCGGACACTGCGGCCTATGGGATGGTCGCGAAGTTTGGTGACGTAGAAGGTAACATTGGTAACATCCATGACAATCCATTTGGAATTAGGTCGCTGTTGTCGAGCCCATTCATGAATGTCGATGTTTTGTATCGTTTCGCGAACTTGAGCTAAATCTTCACGATCACGAATCTGGAACGGGGAGTCGAAGACACGGCTGTTGTTTGCTGAGGGGTGGTGATATTGCATTTGTTGTGTCTCGTTATTAAATAATACGAAACCAAAGGAGAGATTTAACTTAAAGACGGTGGTTTGATCTTCGAATAAGTGCTGTATGCTGTTGACAAGTTGCCCCATATTCATCGAGCTCAAACGATAGTTGTACCAATCCTGAATCCGATTGCCTCGACTTTCTCGCGTACGTATAGCACGCCAATGCTCTCGGTGGAGCTGGGAAGGAAGGTTAGATGGTGGTAATAGGGGATCCTGAGGGAACTCTTGGGGTCCTATAGAAATTATAACACCCGATTCTTTATTTTTGTCTAGAGCTCCGCACTAATTTTGTCATACAAACACCCGATTCATAAAAAATCGAAATAAGTCTAACATAAATATATTAGGAACATGCAATTTCACATAGCAACATGATAAACCCAGGCTATGAAAATTACTTTTACCTCACTATAAAACGCTAGCGAATGTTACAAAAATGATGTAGCGTAAATACTCGTACAATGACATAAATTAATAGTTCTAAATCAAATGAACATAAGCCTAACATGAATAATTAGGAACATTCCACACGATAAACCCACGCTATAAAAATTACTCGATTATTTTTATCATGTTTTCAAAACACAAACAGTGAAACAACATGAAAATATTTTTCAAATGTAAACGTTAGGATTTCAAAGTCTTTCTCCTGGCAATGTTTTAAAACCGAGTAATTAACATTATCAATATACACACCAAATCACCACAATCAATATACTATATACGGTATAAAAAATTGAATTTCATACCTTCGTTGACGACTGTAGACGTGGAAGCACCTGAAAAGAGAGAAAAATGTATTAGTGTGATTTTAACTTAAATTATTACACAGCATATACTCTCTTACCTTCGTTAACGCGTGTCGAAGATGTTGGCAGTTCTTAAAAGAGAAAAAATATCTGTATAAATACAAAGACAGTAATCGAAATATTTTCTTTTATACATACCTGGTTCATCAGTTCTTTGCCTTTTTGTTCGCCGGGTCGGCGTCTTCGTACGTTTCCCACGGCCAACTTGAAGGACATCGTGTTGATGGGCTTGTAAGGGGAATATATTGCGGAACACCTCACCGCAAATATTGCAGTTGTATTCCCTTTGGGCTCTTCGTTGTTCGTGCATTCTCATATGCCGGTTTAAAGCATCCTTGAAATAATATAAGTAGATATTATTAGCTCAAAATACTTTACTATACTTTGAAATACATCCCTGTAAATTACGTACCTTCGATTAAACGTTTTGTGGCAACGCGAACACTCGTGGTCTTTGTCACTGTGAGTTTTCATGTGTCGGTTCAAAGCATCCTTAAAATCATATAAATATTATTAGCTCAAAATGTTTTAATATGTTTGTTAGATTATGTAATTTATTGTTGTAAAAGAAACTAAAAGGTTCACAAAATATAGTTTTCCCGCTTTAAAACAACAACTACACCGATAATGGCGGATCTAAATAACGTTCAACGAACGTATAGTCACGTGTCCGATGTACTGTATATATTAACTGTATTACGGTACTTTATGCTAATTTATGCTAAATAATATCAACCATATAAATATAGTTTAAACTTTAAACACTAAAAGTACTTATCTCAACACCCCCACTCAGACTCAGCTCGTCCTTAACTATGATGAGTCTGACGTGTTGTTGATGTTCTTAATTCCCTAAGAGTACTGTTCTGTGTTTTTCCACATTCACTCGAGGTAATGATTTCGTCAGAATGTCCGCAGTCATTTCTTCGGTTGGAACATAATGTATCTTTATTTCTTTATTTTCTACCCTTTCTCGAATGAAGTGTAGCTTCGTGTCGATATGTTTTGACCGTTTATGCATCACGGGATTGTGACACATCTTAATGCAGGATTGGTTGTCTTCTCCAATATCTGTCGCTTTCTCCATTGGGAAACCAAAATCCTTTAGTAGAGCTCGTAAGTAGATTGCTTCTTGTGCAGCAGCCGCCATGGCTTGATATTCCGCCTCCGCTGTTGATAAGGCAAAGGTTGCTTGCTTCTTTACCTCCCAACTGATGGCACCTCCATTTCCTTCGAATTTAAAGTAGTATCCAGTTGTCGATTTGCGATCGTTGAGATCCCCACTCCAATCTGCGTCCGAATCGCCAACAATATCACTGCTGGAATTCTTCAAGAATGTTAATCGTAAGTCGGTAGTTCCTTTGAGGTATCTCAGTACGCGCTTTGCTGCCTTCCAATGTGATTCGTCAGGTTTATCGAGAAATCGTGACAACTGATTAACAATATTTAGAATATCTGGACGGGTTTGTTTGCCAATGAATAAAAGAGAGCCAACTAAACTTCTATACAGCTTCGGATCTACTAATTTCTTTCCTTCGTTACTTTTGACTAGCTTTAGATTTACTTCTCCGGGTGTTGCTACAGCTTTGCAATCACTCATGTTAAATTCTTGGAGAACAGTTTCGATATACTTCGTTTGATCCACTGTAATCTTGTCATGCGATCGCAGGATTTGCATTCCTAAGAACCAGTTTAGGTCGCCACGATCATCCATCTTGAAATTTTCATTTAACATTGACTTAATTTCGTTAATTGCTTCTTCGGTCGCTCCAGCCACTACTATATCATCTACCCAGACTAACACATAGGAAAATGTTCCATTTTCTTTCTTTCTTACAAATAGGCAATAGTCGTTGCAGCTTCGTTTGAATCCTTTCTTGAGAAGTAGACTTGTCAGAGCTTCATACCAGTTTTTCGCAGCTTGTTTTAGACCATAGATTGATTTGTTCAATTTGCACACAAGCTTTTGTCCTGAGTTTGCTTTCTTGACAAACCCCTCTGGCTGCTCCAGATAAATTTCTTCTTCTATTTTGGAATGAATGTAGGTTGATTTCACGTCCATCTGACCAAGATATAAGTCCTTTCGTGCTGCAGTTGCTAATAGAATTCTAAAGGTTTCTGGTTTGCATGTTGGAGCGTGTGTCAAAGAAATCTATGCCTTCGATTTGAGCATAACCCTTTGCTACGTATCTTGTCTTGAGCTTATCGACTTGGCCGTTTGCTCGATACTTTACTTTATACACCCATTTTCCAGGTAAGACTTGTTGATCTTCTGGTTCGAATTCATCGACTAATGTCCAGGTATTATTGTCCATTAATGACTCGTACTCTGCTTGCATAGCTTTTCTCCAGTTTTCTGCATGCGGTGAACGAATTGGGTTCTTGTATGTTTTCCTCTTTTGTTATGTTAAACGTGTAGGGTAATCCATATCGTTCCGGGGGGCGACGATTTCTGCTTTCTCTGGGGAGTGCGACTTCGTCTTCCTCAGGGTTTTCTTCGACTTGATGTGGATTTTGAACAACAGGTGTCTTATCATTTTCCCCCACTCTAGCTTGGACCGGTATCTTTGTGGCTTCGTCATTCGAGCGATCATCTTCAAAATCCATGTTTGGACTCACAAGGTTTGGGTTGTCTGGACTCATTGTTTCTCTGGCTGAGAATGACTGGATTTCGTTCTCTTTGAAGATGACATTACGTGCTTTGATGACCTTTTTCGAGTCGAATTCTTGCAAGATGTAGGCTGTGCTTTTGTCATTATAACCGATAAATTTGGCTTTCACCGATCTCGAATCCAGCTTCTTCATGTTGATCTTTCTATTCATAACATATGCCGTGCAGCCAAAAACTCGTAGGTGGTTGCGCCTTGGTGGTTTTCCGGTAAAGAGTTCAAAGGGACTCTTTCCTTGGTTGCTATTGGCAGTTACTGTAAGATTTCGTATGTGAGCTGCTGTAGATAAGGCTCTTACCCAGTAGCACTTTTGTAACTTGGCTTGGATTAACAGAGACCGTCCCATTTCAACTACAGTTCGATTGAAGCGTTCTGCAACTCCGTTCTGTTGTGGGGTTTCTGGAACAGTAAATTCTTGCTTTATTTTTTAGTCTCTGCAGTAATCCTTGAATTGCTTCGATGTGTATTCAGCTCCATTGTCAGTTCTCAGTCTTTGAGGTGTTCCATATTCAGCTACATACTCTTTAAATTTTTCAAAAGCTTGGGATTTCTTGCTCATAAACTTTACGATGGAATGTTTCGAGTATTCGTCGATAAATGTAATCACATATCTGGATCCACTGAGGCTAGGTACTTCAAATGGACCGAGTATATCTGAGTAACGAGTTCGCGAGCTTTCTGCGACTTGTTCTGCGTTTCTTTCGGTACAGGTTTACTAGATTGCTTTCCAAGTGCGCACGTTTCGCATACTTCCTTCAAATTATCTTCACAGCTAATGGTGCGTTTGACGTCATCCTTGTTAAGTGTCCGAGCCTTTGGTGTTACAGATTAATACCTCCTTTGATTGCTGCTTTATTTGTGTTGTAAGTGGTAGAATGACATGCACTGGACCTTTGAAAGGTAATCTTCAGATAAAATAAACCACTGTCTTCAGTGAGATCGACTTGTGGACCATGATTTAATCTTAACTTTGCTTCACTTTTATTAAATACGAATTTGTGTCCAAATCTGACGGATCGATTGACAGAAAGCAGGTTCACTTAAAGTACATAAAGTACGTTTCGTAGAACCATTTCTTCCTCTTTTCCATTTTTCAGATGGAGCTTTACTGGTACATCACCAATTCCTTCAACAGGAGTAAAATTTCCCTTTGGATTTTTAACATTTTTGTTAAAATGCTTGTTTCAGTACCACTGTTCATACATTGAGAATATGATGCAAATGAGTTGGGTTCTTTTGTGGATTTATCAGGTTTACTTGAACCTCTGCATGCTTTTGGTAAATGTCCCTTTTTCTTGCACTTTGAGCAGTAAGTCCAGGGTTTCCGCATACAAAACAATCTCCCTTCGGCTTGCTTGGACCTTTGTTTCTTCCTGACGTATTTCCAGAATACATAGCTGTTGCACCATCTTCTTTTGCTTGATTTCTTTGTAGTCGACTATCATCATAATTTTGTAAACGTGTTCGTAATTCGGTGAAATCTGCTGCAGGATTAAAACTTTCCTGTACGATGAAGTGCTCATATTTCTCTGGAAGTCCGTTTATAACTAAGGCATTAAATAGTGTTTCTGATATCTTTTCACCAGCTTCGGTTAATCGAGACATTAATTCTTGCGCTCGTATAAAATATTCGGATAATTTTTCATTTTCATTTAACTGTAATCGAGAAATTTGACGAACTAGACTTACTACATTTGGCTTTTCCACGTTGGAATATCTCTGTTGTAGCAAACGCCACGCCTTTGCCCCATCCCCAACACCATCTGATGACAGGCAATCATGTCTTATATATAAAAGACTATTATTGTCGAGGGCTAAAGCAATATGACACCATACCGTATTATTTCTTTCTTCAATTTCTTCGATTTGTTTATTTCTTTGTTGAACTTTTGCCTCCCATTCGGCCTTCTGCTCGTCTGAAGCATCCCCTGCTAGCGGTGTTATCTCTTCCGGTGCGACTTCTTTCCCCAGAAGCGCTTTGTATAAACCTTTCGTTTGCATATACGCGGTGAACTTTGTGCTCCATGCTGGGTAGTTTTCAGCTTTTCCGTTAAAAACTAGCCATTTTATCGTTTGGCTATCCATTACCACGATCCTGGGCCCATAACCTGTTAGATTATGTAATTTATTGTTGTAAAAGAAACTAAAAGGTTCACAAAATATAGTTTTTCCGCTTGAAAACAACAACTACATGGATAATGGCGGATCTAAATAACGTTCAACGAACGTATAGTCACGTGTCCGATGTACTGTATATATTAACTGTATTACGGTACTTTATGCTAATTTATGCTAAATAATATCAACCATATAAATTATAGTTTAAACTTTAAACACCAAAAGTACTTATCTCAACAATGTTTTGAAATATATCCCTGTAAATTACATACCTTTCGATTAAACTTTTTGCGACAACGCGAACACTCGTGGTTTTTGTCACATATGTCGGTTCAGGTTGTCCGAACGCGTAAATACGCGACCACATTCATCACAACACAAACTTGGTTCTGGCGAAGCTGTTTCATCGTGTTGCCAATCATTCCATTCCGCAAGAATCTCCTCTTGAGTTTCAGGGGACCAAGAAAATGTGTCCACGGCACAAAGCTGGAGATTAATCTCATCATTTTCCAGTTCGCTCATAAATCGATCTCTCCTGAAAATATACACAAAAAATACTTGTAGGATTGCCTTAAATACTTAGCTGTAAATAACGAAAGTCAACTTACCACATATTTTCCCGATGTTGTTGTGCCATGTTTCTCCTCAAAAAACTTTATCTTCCAACCAGAAATAAACGTTAATTCTACCAACAAGATAAATTTCAGCAGCTTGCCAAAAGACCTCCAGTAAGAGCGTTGTCAAAATATAGACGATGCTTGTTACAAGACGCTTGTCGATTTTATACAGACGCTCGTTAAATCAAACAACCAATCATAGTAAACCAACATTAATCCCTCCATTGTACCACACACGTTGGGGGGACGCTAAAAAATGCGTAGTCAGCAAGTTTCGCCCGATCGTATTTAAGCTCGCCCGCGTGACGTCATTGCATATAATTATGACGTATGCTAATGAGTGACGTCATTACGCACCCTCCCTCCACGACACTCCACCACCTCATCCACCACACTCCACCACACTCCACCACACTCCACCACACTCCACCACACTCCAAAACACTCCACCACACTCCACCACACTCCACCACACTCCCCCCCCCCCCCCACACACACACACAATAAGTGGCCACCACTGCCGCACAACCCCACACTGCTACAAAAAGGCTGACAAAAGTAGGACTTGCTTGTCCAATCTCAGTGAGACTTGTTCGATGTGGGGGAATGCAATGCAGCCCTGTTCACAGGACATGAAGTCTGTGCAGTTTCTGGACTATCACTTGCTGCTAAACCTACTGAGAGAGATTGTTAAATATAACTCAAAAGATAGTTTCAGTTATACCATATCTTATCTCTAAACACATCATAGGAAAGCAATCATGCTTATCCAAATTTTGCTAACTGCTTTGAACACTCTCAGGTCCTGGGTATTTTTCCCTCTGTCCCACACTCTCTGTCTTTGTGCTTATCTATATATTAATCCTGATTCACACCATATATAATCTGTACGACCGTGTGAGCATGTGAACAACCACAATTATTATAAATTATTAAAAACTGGCAATAAAAAACACAAAGCAGCATAATTTCATGTCCACAATTTTCAACGATTATAAACAGGATTTATATGTCCGTATCCCGGTTCATGTATCTGCTATTGAAATATTTGCTGTATATATATAGTAGCATGAGTTTTTGACTTATATTATAGTCATTTGACTCATTTTCGAGAGTCATTTTATATCTAGCAACTACCATAAGCAAGGTTCTACAAAGTAAAAATAGTTTCACGAATCTTACCCTGAAAAAATAGTTAATCTTTCTTGATAGTGAATTGTTGCATCAACAAACGAAACAAAACGGCACTTTTCCTCCACGTAGTAAAACAAATAAAGTGCGAGGGAAAGATTTTCTAGCTCAAAAACAACCAAAAACCTCTAAATTCTGAAATAGTGAAATATTTGTGTAAAAACAGGGGGGGTGCAGGACTTTGTTTAATACTTCGGATCGCGGTTGGTCAGTGGCAATTACCATCGAGACTTCGGACCAGTTGTCATGGAAATGGCGTAAGCGACGCCACGTTTTTGGCGACACTCTTTCATGCCGAGCAGGTCCTCCAGTAATATAGTATAGCTCAGTGGTCATCCCATGCAGTGCTTCCACTTGCAAGGAAATTTCTTTGCAAAAAGAAATAAAATTTACTAGGAAACGGCAAGGAATTTTGTTTTCAACAAGGAAATAAGGATATTATGTTATTTCTAATAAATCCTAAGATTATAGCAATTCCCAAGCAAATTCGCGTCAGGAAATGTCAAAAATCCAAATCCAACTCCTGGGGAATGGAAAATCTGAAAAATTTCTGAGGCATGACCTCAAGCCTCCTGTTGCAGCTTTTATTATTAATTTATAATTGCGACGTTCATGGTGTTTCTCACCCGAGAAATACACCGTCATTCAGGATAAATTATTGTAATATCAGTTTTAAACTAGGTAAAATTCCAACCTCGTTCCCAGGGCTTTTCCCTTTTTGTCATTGGGAAGGCGGGAAAAGGCTCTGGCACCGGCCGGTCTTCTATGTATTCTGATTGGTCAATGACAAGTACATTATTATGCAAATAATACAATCTTGGATTAATTTATTCAAACTTTGGGATAAATTAATATTTTCACGCAAGGAGTGTCCATTATTAATACTTTGCCCGTCTAAGAAATATTTTTGGCAAAATGGTTAAATTCGATAAGATTTATACACAATTTGTCGAAGGTTAGTATTATTGTTTGTTTTAAACTGTTAGAGAAGATTAATTGTGTAATAGAACACACCTCTGAGGCTCTGACCGAGTATTTAGGGCAAAATGTGCCTTCATAATTGGCTTCGTATAGCGTTAATGTTTGTATTTACAGTTATTAAACACTAAAGTCTGGGTTTATAAACTGAAACATGACCTTTAATTTTTTATATTCTTCATAGTCGAGTTTAAATTGGCCAAATTTATAGTTAGTTACCACTAGAAATGCGACGATATTTTGTTATATCATATATGCAACAGTGTTTACAACTTTTGAATAATATGTGATTTGGTTTTGTTTCAGATACTATTACATGTTGCTTCATTTTACCATAAATTGTGTTAAAAAAGTGATTTGCTCATTTGGCTGATGTTACAGTTTTCTGATGTGTTTTGTTTGGATGATATTAGAACAATTTCAATATGAAAGTGCAGGTGTCTTTAGACATGAGCCATGTATGTATCAAAATACTGATAAAATCCGTTTCCAGCTTGATTGTATTTGCATTGTTGCAGACAAAGTTGTGCAATGGTGGGCTTATGTCACATACTCGTATGTAATTCCATGTGCATGCTTGTACTTTGATGCCTCAAGAGATGCTTCGAATGTGTAATAAAGGGCTGTTCGCAGGAGTTGGGCTGTCTGGTCTTAAATTACATTGTTTTTATGATATTTCAAGATTGTATTCATATGGCTGGACCATCTTGCCATTGTCTGTCTGATGTTCAAACAGGCTTTAAAGTCAGGTTACAATGCATGCTTGAAAATATGCAACAATTTCACTGCTAATAATATTCCAGAAAATCCTGCCTCTTGGGCAGATCTGGACTGATTTGTCAGAGGGGGTTGGAGTTTTTCTACTTGTGATCGGGCAAGGGGAGCTAGCCAAGGGTGCTGGGTCAGAGTCAAACTCATGTGAAAAGCTTCTAAGTCCTAATTATATTGATAAATTATGTACACTTTGGGATGGTAATGCAATTTGTAAAATATTCCACATTTTATTTAATAAAATTTAATCATATACATTGTTTTTGTTGTTTATATTAATACCTTGGACAGTGTGTATTTACACCTTTGGACCCTGTAAATAAACACCTTTGGAGGGTGTACCATTCTAAGCCAAAGACGTTTAAGAACAATTATCAAGGTATTTGCATGATAAAATATATTTAAAACTGCTCTACATATACATGTAATGCATGGTTCAATTCTTGCATTTACCAAGTAAACCCAGGGATTTTCAATGTCCCCCTCCTCCCATAGAATTCACTTGAAGTGACTGGGGCAAGGTAGCTATAAGTATAAATAGGTACAGTATATAAAAATCAATTAAAATTTACAAATAGAGCTTTTTGAATATAGACCATTGCAAAATTTTTTTAAATTTGTTTAACCCTTTATAGTGGCAATGTGCCCTACTTTAGTATATTACTCCTCTGGTGCCAGACAATTTTACTCAAGGGCAGAATGTAACTTGCCACAAGTCGACCTCGAACGAAACGTCGGCTCACACTCGCTGCTTGCGTTTCGTTCGAGGTCGACTTGTGGCAAGTCTAGGCAGAATGCTGCCACTCAATGAGTTAATATATTCTCAGAACATTACCATCAAATTAATCTATTTTGCTGGCAAAATTGCCTTGGAGGGGTCCTTGATTTGTTGAGTTTTTTTTTTGGGGGGGGGGGAGTGTTGTAAAAAACAGAATAGCAACTGGTTTCGAATAGAAGAATTGTTGTAATATAGGTAATATAATTCTAAGACAAATCATCCAAAGGAAGCAATCATTCTAGCTCTTATAGTGTATGTTGCAACAGGGATGGATTTAATGGGGGGGGGGTGCACCCCCTAGCCCTGGCCAGAGGGGTGCTATATATTTTTCATGATAAAACAAAAAATTATTACAGGCAAAATGAATACAGTAATTTGAGTAATAACATGATAAGCAAGCTGTGAACAACAATTAGAATTCAAATACAGTAGTAAAGCAAGACTTTGCAGTAGTGAAGCAAGTTGATTGGCGGGCGGCACACATGACCAACACAACTCGGCACCAGAGCTGGCAGAGCACCCCCCCCCCGCCTACCTGATCATGCTGGATCCATCCCTGTGTTGCAAAATGTATTTTCTTCATATTCAGGCATTCACATGAATGAAGATTATAATTGCATCATGTTATATAGTCTTAAATATTTAGGAGGGGTCTCCATTATTAAATTAAGAGATTAAAAAGGGGTCCCATGACATTTTGACATAAGAATCACCCACCCCACCCTAGGGTATGAATGGTCACTTAAAGTACATGCCATCTTCTAACTGGTTGGGCACCTTGCCCATTTTGTTATGGAAAATCTATTCCCTACCTTTATCCCCTGGGACAAAAAATTCAAATCAACTCTCCACCCTGATAATGTGCCGATGGTAACAGCAAGAATTGAAGCAAGCAAGCTTTACTGGAGTACATACTATTATTAGGAAGCATCAATTCGCACATGCTAATTTGCCAGTCATGATTTAAACTATTTCTGCCGTGTTGCCAGAAACAATTGTAATCGTGATTTCCCCATTAAATGCACTGGTGGGCGACCAAATAGACAAGCTAAAAACTGACATGGGTGTTAAGGCAGTTGTTTTACGCCATGATGATCATGATCAAGAAATGAAAGGTGGGTACTAGTACTTCATTTTGCTATTTTTGTATATAATACATAATATGTATAGACGGTAAATAGACCCCTTGCCTAAAAATCAACTGGTTGGAAAGTTTATTGAAAATATAATTAGCATTAAGCAATCACTATTAAGTGTACTTGCCATGTTAGGGTCTTGGGGAAATGTTTCCCTTATTTTTCTGTTAGCAGCTGTATCAAAATGTATGCATTATTAAATAAATTTATTTGTCTTTTTATAGCTTACAGTATGTATCAACAAAGTATGGATGTAAGGCCTCAGAGGTTCGCCAACACATGAGGACAAAAACAACACTGTTGCAAAGTGCAGAAAGGCAAACAAGAACAATTGTCAAAAACAGAAACACCAGGCTAGTTATTAAAAATATTATTGCCCAGCAAATAATTTGCAAAAGGGGCATATTCAAAAAACATTTAGTATATAAAAATATTTATTGAGTAATGTTACAAGTGACTTGTTGCTTGTTTTTAACTAGAGTAGTCAATAACTTATTTGAGGACTATGTTTTGCTCAAGGCAAATTTTAACCCATTGAGCCACAATGCGCCCAGGGCCGTATGCAGGATTTTTTCACCAGAGGTGCAGTAAGGCCTATATGCCGAAAAAAGTCCTAAATATCCAAAGAATAATTAACAATTACATTCTAAAAATCGTAAATATAGTTTTCTCTGGAGGGGGCAGTTGCCCCCACCCCCCGGTTGTGTACGTCCCTGAGTGTGCCCTACTTATTTTTTTTACTTGTCTAACACCAGACGGTTTAACTCGTCAATGGGGATAGCCCACAAAGCTCTGCAGCTTAATGGGTTGATAAAAAAACTGCCAATGTCTGTAGTTAACCCATTGAGCCGCAATGTGCCCTAGTGCGCCCTTTTTATTTTTTACTTGTCTAGCGCCAGAAGATTTTACTCGTCAATGGGGAAGCTCAATGTAATTAACTTTACATGTCAATTATGGTCATTACCTATGGTTTAATAACAAAGGTCAATAAATATGGTGCTTGTGTACATATAATTGATTGCAATGGTTTTCTTTAGGTTATGTTTTTGTTTTGACTTGTTATTAAACCATAGCTAGGTGAAAACTATAATTGATCTGTAATGTTTAGTATAACCAATTTCTCGTATAAATATTTATATTAATTTGTAATATATGTATTTTTTAATATTTATAGATATATATATATTTTTTTGCATTAAAAAATTAAGAGTGATGAACAACATTGTGTCATTTACTATTCTTATAGGAAATTAGGATAAATTTCGTATAGGAATTCCTATAAGATGATATGTCATACTGCAAAACCTGAACAGTCAAAGTGATGTACTTTCCAGAAGGGTGTATTTATTAATAAAATGTTTCAGTGACAGTGTTAAATTAAACAAACTTTAGCAACAGGTAGCTAAAATGCTTCTTATGGTGAAATAAGCTTAGACTTGACACATAACTGGTTAAATTACTTAAATATAATCATGAATTGTTATTGATTGTATTCTAGTTTGGATAAATTTATTCAATAGTTTGGATAAATAATTTAATTCCATCTACAAAATCCCTTCAACATTTTGTGTGTGAAAAGCCAGCTTTTCACCTTGGGTATTAAACAGTCGAGCTTGGGGTTCTCAAACAACACTGGTTCCATTGTGAACTGTGCATTGTGATTGTGCAAACAGAACAAAATGCTTCCATTAACTTTGTGTATCAAGTACTTAATAAATACTAAATTTTCGTAGATTACATTCTAAATTAGACTCTTCAAATTGTCAAGTACAATGTATAAAATTGCGTTGATGCAAACAGATAGGTGGAGGGCGACAATTTACACAATAATATTGTAACATCTGCGTACACGGTACACAATATATATTAATTTCCATAGTCGTGAATGTGACTGATAATCCGAGTCTTGAACTTTATCATTCAATTCGTTTCAAATGTATCTAATCCTTCAAATATCCATGTAGTTAGTTTCCAGCAGTCTTGAATTTGTCCATATCATAATTTAAGCAAAAATTTACATGTAAATATCTGATTTCTACCATAATTTAATACCAGTTTATAATAATTGCCACTCTTCGCGCCAGCCATTGTTTATTGTTAACCCGCATTTCCTTCCCACCCGCAACATTCCTTTAGAGCAAAAGAGCCAATCACAATCAACTGCTCAACAGCCTGAACCAGGGCCACTGTGATGGCCGCCCGAGCTTGGGCCTGGGGACGAGGATGAGGAATTTTTGTAAAAAAAAAAGGAAATTTTGAGCAGTTGGGAAGGAAATTATTTTTTTGAAAGTGGAAGTGGAAGCACTGAATTTACACCCCGCCATTTTTAGTGTCAAGTTTCTTCGAAACTTGACAAGTATTGTGATGAGTGGGGGAAAATTCATATGAGTCAGGGATCAGGCATAATAGTGTAAACTTTCCGGGGGGTGTATACGATATATGTTCGTAGTGATTTATTGTACTTAGTCAGTGCTTTGAAGGTTATTTAGGCAATTTCAGTTGCCTTATTTAAATATTCTTTTGTCCTTTTGCCAAGTTCACAAAAATTTTGAGGAGTGGTTGTCGTTATTGTAATTTTTTGTAAATTTTATAACATTCGCTTCTCATGTTGTGTAAAAGATCTTTACCCCGGAACACTCGATTTTTTCTTTAGCAGCGCAAATGCGCATGCGCTATCAAACCGTAGATGACCTACGATGACGTGACGACGCTAGGAAGGAGCGACACAGTGTTGTTTTCAAATGTATACACATTTCAGATGTGAATATTGAGTAAATCTTTGAGAGTCTACGCAATATATAAATTGATGTTATTCATTACGGGCATTCAGTCAAGTACCGATATTACTTAGACGGTATATTCATTATACAGAGCTAAGAACTAAGGAGCTAGATAGTGCTTTTTTCCAAATGTATATAAAACATTTCAGACCTAATTATAAATATTGAGAAAATCTTCGAAGTGCCGATATTATTTTGACGGTATATTCATTATACAGAGCTAGGAAGGAGCGAGACAGCGTTGTTTTCAGACCGATGAATATTGATAAAATCTTTGAGATGCTACGTAATCTATAAATTGATGTTGTGCATTTATACCGGACGGCATTCAATTTATAAGTGCCGATATTATTTAGTCGTATATTCATTATACATCGAATGTAAAGGTGTAACACTGCTACACCACAGAATAGGTCACTCAGTACGAAGAGCAAAACATTGCATCAGATCAGTAGAGCATAAATAACTATCAAACAGAAGTAGTGTTTGTATATCATTGTATGGCGTTTGCTATCCAACGTGTACAGTCACGGGCCTTGTTCACATGTCTGGCACAACGGTGCAAACTGGTGTTCAATGGCACAATGCAACATTCAAATGCAACGAGAACATCACCAGATCTTACGAGAATCTATCTGTATCAAAGCTTTATCAAAACTGCTATAAACTCTGCTGTAACTGTGAAATTATTGACATCTAAAGAGACATTATTGAATACTTGCGGAAAGCTGAAAATGACTCATATAAAAAAAACAACCTGATCTTGGCCTTGGGAATATAAAGTCAAAGGTCATTGAGACTTGTTATTGAGAAACATGTCACAATTAAGTTAAAATGCGGAAAGCGGATGCGGAACCTAGCGGATCCATGGAGCGGGTGCGGAACGGATATAGGGATAAAATGCGTCATTTAAATGAATTTTTTCGCCTCAATTTTATGTGTCTGTGTTTTGGATTTATGTTTTTGTAATGGGATGCAACGTCATATTAACTACAGTGTGTCCCCAAAAAAGTACCCTTATAACAATAGGATAGATACTTTCTATAGAGGGTACTTTTTTGGGACACACTGTAGTTATACAGCTATTTCAATTGTGTCACTGAGACAATAGTTAAATGTGCAATATGGGCGCTGATAGTTTTAAATAAGTTTAGTATATCAGTAGCCTCGTGGGGATACTTTCAGCGACAGCTCCCAATGCAATTGTAGTTTTAGAATATACAAAATTTGGTTGCTGGTGAAAGAATTTAAATTTCGAGTTGTCTCGTGTAGCATCAAAATAAATAAATAAATTGTACCAGTTCCACGAGGCACGGTGAAGGAAGTGACAATGAATTGTTTCTCTCGTAAAAACCTTGTTCTAATCCACATTTTTGAGTAACGTGCAGGGTTGGTATGTTAGATGAAGAATTAGGCCAAATCGTATTAGTGCCGTTATTGAAAACAAATAAAACAAAAAAAAAAAAACACGCTAAGACAAAAAAAAAACAAAGGCCTAACGTAACGTTGTGAAATCTATTAACCCGTTAGACCCTACGCAGTTCTTCCCGATCTTATTCAATTTGAAACTTTACACTATCCTTGGATCCCTAGTTTATAAACAGCTCGTGATTCCGAAGTTACAATATTTCGCTCGATATTTCGAGCCGATGAAGCCTTATTAACCGTGAATAAGCGAAGATGAAACATCAGGGATGATTGAGTAATATCCAGGTAAGAATCTTGTTATGTTTTATGTATAATAGAGCAATTTTGAAAGGAAATATTTGCTATCTTCATTCGTGAATCTTGAGAATGCTCGTGTTTGATGACCTTTGATGTTTCGGCTTAAAATTTGAATTTGCCGAGCCGATGAAGCCTTAATAAGCGAAGATGAAACATCAGGGATGACTGAGTAATATCCAGCTAAGAATCTTGTTATGTTTTATGTATAATAGAGCAATTTTGAAAGGAAATATTTTCTACTTCAATCTTCATTCGTGAATTTTGAGAATGCACGTGCTTGATGTTTCGGCTTAAAATTTGAATTTGCCGCGACAATATTTAAAACGGTGATAGAAAACATTAGTTTATAATAATATATTTAATTTTTTTTTTTTTTTTTTTGAATTGAATTTTATTTGCCCATATGAAAAAGTTAATATTTACAATCTAAAGTATACAATAAAATATGACGGGCTAGGAGCCTTCATGAAACCCTTTCAGGTAAGCTTGGGCGGTTTACCGGTTTTCCGGTTTTGTACGTTTTTTTTTATTAAACCGGTTTTTGTTTTCAATAACCGGAAAACCGGTTTTTACTACATATCAAAAAGCGCACTATATAATTGTTAATTGTTAAGCAATGCTGACATATATGACTGTTGTGATGACATTTTTTCCACGCGCGCGGTAAAGTCTTTACTTCGCCAATTATCAGCGCAAACATGGCTACACAAAATGTTAGCGCTGCCGATTTACGTTCGAAAAAGTCGTTTACATCCCCAATTTGTCAATATATATATTTCGTGTTTAAAACCGATGAAGACGACAACGCCAAGCCGACGTGCAAGCTTTGCCTCAAAAAGGTTTCTGCTGCTGGAGGAAATACTTCCAACCTTCAACGCCATCTCCGCGATCATCATCCTGCGAAGGCACAAGAGCGTGGAAAACAAGGTTGATAAAATTACAATTATCGAACCTTACCGCTAAAGACACGTGTAATTTGTGCAATTGTTGAGCGTTGAAATTATGTTTTCATTTGTACATATTTCCCAGCGCGCACACAACATGAAATTGACGTTGTTTCAAGGTTTCAGGCATCGAAATGACGTTTTCAAACCATTTAACGTCGATTTCACGTTGTTTGCCCGCTATAGGATAGCGGTTATTGCGCGTTATTCAATATTGGAATCGCGTTAATTTTTTAAAGTTAAAAAACCGGTTTTTCGGTTTAACCGGTTTTTTAGCGTACGGTTTACCGGTTTTAATTTTAACCAAAACCGCCCAAGCTTACTTTCAGGCTTTTTGTTCAAAGGTCCCTAGTTCTATAATATTTCTACAATTGTTTTATATGGTAAGTTAATCATATAATGTCGGAAGAATATAGGAATATTTACAAATACAAATATAAAGTAAGGAAAATTTTAAAGTAAAAGTAATATAATGAGCTAATTGAACAAAGTTTACAGATAATAACAATTAAAGTATATTTTACATACTGCTAATTTCATTATCGAGTGAATTCCATATCTTAACTCCCTTGTTAACAATAGAATGTTTTGCATAATTTGTTCTACTAAAATTTACATGAAATTTGTTAGCATTTCGAGTATTGTAATGATGCACTTCATTGTTCTGTGCGAAATAGCCATTAAAATATTCAGGTAAGTTTTGTAGACGTTTAAACCGGTACATAAATAAACAACTTAAAAAGTCATTGATCTTAAAGATATTCAAGATCTTTAAGTTCTGAAACAATGGCTCAGTGTGTTCAAGCAAC